GAGAAGCAGAACCAAGTGAACTGCAGCTTCGAGCATCCACCACCAGAAGACAAAGTATGCGGCATTGACATCTCGACCTTTGCCCCATGTACAGCTGACAGCCACTTTGGCTATAACGTGGCCAGACCATGTATATTCCTTAAGTTGAATAAGGTAAACGACTAAGTGCACGGCATTAAACATAACATTATTTTAACATGCAATATAAATATTTTTAGATTTACAACTGGGTGCCAGAAATTTACAACGATTCAAAGACCTTGCCAGAGCATATGCCCGAGGAACTGAAACAGCACATCAAGGAAAAGCAAAGCCTGCGACCCAATGAAGTAAGCTGGGAAAACACATAAAAATAAAACTAATTTAATATTCATTCTTACTTCATTTGCTTTCAGACAAACGTAGTCTGGGTCTCGTGCGAGGGTGAGAATCCTGCCGATGTTGAGAACATCAAAGCACGTGATTACTATCCACGCATGGGTTTCCCTCGTTACTATTTCCCCTTCAAAAACATTCTGGGATACATACCGCCTATTGTTGCTGTTCAATTTACCGTTGAAAGTAAGTTAAATCTATATATTATTATGTTTCTGAACCAAGAACAAACCAAGACCTAAAAAATCTAGAGAGTTGGGCAGCTCAAAGTCCAAAAATAAAAAAGGCGTGGTGCAAAAGTGCAAAAAAGGTTAAAACAAAAGGTTTTAAATTAGGCTTACTCCCTATACTCCATTGTTATTATCTAAGCGGCACACTTAACTTAAACAATACCTGAATTTCACGGTACAATAAATATTAACAATAGTTCCTGTTGCAAGGAAGTCAGTACAAGAAAATCCTGTAAATGGAGTAGGAAGTGTGTCCTCTTTATTCTTTGTTTTAAATTTAAACGGATTCAAAGCACTTTATCCGCCCAACAATTGTTTTAATAAATGGGTTACGAACAATGAATTAAATTGTTTGTTTGTTTATTTTTATGGGAATAACGACAACTTTCGAAAATGATTTTAAAACGAAAGTATGTAATTTAATTAATTTTTGAACTACACCAAATTATGCTAAGAAAGAAAGGTCCGCTCTTAAACATTTTTAAATTAGGATAGAAATTCGCACTTTTGTTAGGTTTACTTTTGGGTTTTCTTAAGGCTGTCTCGATGTTCGAAAAATAAATTTGTTAGCCTGTGTTTAATTTTGTTTCCCAAAAATAAAACAATAATTCATTTATGTAATTCGTTTCCTACTTTTTAGCCGGCGTTTTGATCAACATTGAGTGCAAAGCCTGGGCCCGCAACATCAACCACGACCGCTCAGACAGAAGAGGATCCGTTCACTTCGAGTTGATGGTTGATTAAGAGAAGCGTTAAGGACATGACAACGGTGCGGATGCGGATGATCGGGATCGGGATCGGGATCGGGATCGGGATCGGCAGTATCAAGGCAGCGGCCATCGAAGAATCTATGAGAGATTGAGTTAAATGAACAGAAAGAAGTATAGAAAAAATAAAACAGCAACAAAATCCACACACAAAACAGAAACAAGAACAGTGTAGCAATGCATAAACGACTAGTTTAACGCAAAAAAACCATGCGAGATACAGCAACAACCAAAGAGAAAACTAAAAGAAATGAAGCTACAAGAAGTAAATGGAAAACTTAAAGATTACAAAAACTAGCGCGATAAAGCAAAATAAAAAAAAAAAGCTAAAACAAAATAAAAACCTACCCAACGCTAAATAAAGAACGCCCCACACAAGATCACACAAAAACCTTAATTTTTTAGGACAATTTTATTAAGTTACAAAATTTAGGCAGCAACTAAAGAATATGATTGGCAGGCCTCACAAAATAGCGAAAAATATTATATTATCCGAAATAAACTTTTAAAGCAAAAGCAAAAATAAAAAAATGTTCTTAAGAAATTTCTGATTGGTTTTTTAGTGTCATTTTTGGAACAGGAACAACAAGAAACATATAAACGACAAACAGCGCAGCGAAAAAAACTTTAAAATGCAAAACAGCAATTGTACTTAAAAATAACAAAAATGATTTGAACATAAAACAATTATATTTAAATAACAATGAAATATATATGTATATGTATTTATATATATATATATAAATTGTACAATTGGAGGACATATAAACAAATATATGTATGTTTATATATATATTTATCTTTATATCCACTCTTCTCTAGCCCCTTTCCCGTCAGCACTGAAGAGCAAAAAAGCGTTGCTTAGAGTCCCAAAATATAATTTTGTTAAATTTGTTATAAATGTAAGCAGAGTGCAGCATTTTCCCCACATGAATAAAAAAAACAAAAGGCATTGAAAGCGCATAACACTTACTTGTTTAAACACTACATTAATAAAGCAACAACAATTTAAATTGTAGATTCTTAAATAAAAAATTAAACAAGATCTGCAGAAGGCAACTAAGGCGCGATAATTAATAAACCACAATTATATAAAAGGCATAATTGAAGGAAAACTAAAGAGCAAAACCGAGACATATTTGAAATTAATACTCTTCACTTATTATTGAAAACCCCAAATCCAATGTCATTATTGGGTTGATCGCATGAAAATATTTTATTTAAAGAAATATAATTGAAGCAAACATAACAAATAGCTGAAATAAGAGTAATGAGGTTACGGTTACAATAAAAATGAAGAGCATACAAAATAAAAATATATTATGTATACAACACCAAACAACCCCAAAAATAATATAAATAAATCCAAGTTGTTTTAACTAAATAAAAAAAAAACCCGTTTCCATCTTATATGTTTTACAGCGAATCCAAGAGGTTAGTTTTCCGAAAACAATGGTGACCCTCCCTCCTTTCAGCTTCTGATTAGAAGCCATTTATTCTGTAATGGAATAGATATTACAGCCTTTTGTTTACTCATAAACAAACAGTTGACCCGACTCTGAATATGATATGCAAAATAAATATTTGAACCTCAAATAACTTAAAAGCAAAGCTGTCTATTTTCCCAAAAAAATACTCAAAAAAATAAAAAGCTCGCAGCCGGCATAACAAAAGCTTAATAATTATCCCTTTTTCCATCCACTTTAACTAGTGTAATTTCTAAGAGTAAAGTAAGGTGATGAGCCAGACGAAATGCTATAAAGTTTTGCCAAAAAAAAAAGGAAAAACCAACTGCAGAAAATAAATCAATAAATAAAAGTATAATGGAAAATGTTATACATAAATATAAAAATATATGTATCATGAAAAAATGAAAAAAAAAACATTCTTTCATAAAATGAAATTTAACTACAAAATTAAAAAACTTTTTTTAGACAATGAAAAAGAGGACTCTGTTTGGACCAGAGATAGTGAAAAACCTAAATCTAGTCCATTTTCATTGCAAATTTAGTACCGACATTCCCATATTTTTGAAAAGTTCTTTCTGGCATCATCAAGTACATTGAGTTTGTACCCATTTTACTTTTTTTAAGTAGCATTCCTTAAAAAAATACTTCATAATCCAAAGGCACGCAGAATACCGTGAAGATGTAATACGAAAATTGATTTCTAAAATCTTTGCTAGTGCATGTTTTCCTAAAACTAAGCTAAACAGATTATGGAATGAAGGTAATAAGTTAAGTAGTATAATAAAATGACAGCAAAAATTGTCATCATTGAAAACAACAAATTCCTGTTGGGAGATCATTTAAAATTAATTCTTGTAATGATCAGGTAACCGCGGGCAGAGTTTCAATTTAATTGAGCCACCATCTAGACTTAAAGGTTTATTTTTCATCTCAAGATTTTCACGCACAAAATTAGACTTCTATTTTATTTAGTTTTGACCCGGCAAAGTGTGTTCCCCGAAAACCGCCGATAAATATTAATAGGTTATCTAGGGTAAAAAAAAAGATCTTGTAAACAAAACAAATAAATATTTCCCATAACAAAATATATAATAAACATATAAAAAATGAAAAACTGCCAAGTAAATGTTTGACCCTATAGCTTACAAAAATTTATTTTGAAAAGTCTCCTTAGTTCAGTCTTAGATTGGTTTTGCCTGTCAGCGGTTGCCCGATACTCGCCAAATGATTCGAATCCGAAAGAAAACATAATTACTTTAAAGACTTTCTATTCTTCATTAGGCGGCAACTACTAGCACACAATTTAAATAAATTATATTTAACAAGCATATATATAAACTGCCATTTTTTATGTATGTAAAATAAAACATAAAGAAAAAATAAAAACCATTAAAATTGACATTTTTGTATGTAAACCGACAACCAATCCTTGATACAAACGCAAGGCAACAACAAATAATGTTCAACAAATTTCAAAAAGATTTTTCAATGATTGTTTGAAGGACTTTGCATAATCACACTAATGTCCAAACATCTTGATAAGCTTTCGCTACGAAAAATAGCAAATCTGGCCGCAAACTTTTTATGGAAAGAATTCCCCAATATGCATGTTTTTTAAGATCTCCCACAGAAAAGAGTGACACACTGTGGCGTATGTACCAAACCAAAAGATGCAATGCAAAAAAGACAAATATGAAAATTATTTAAAGTACATTTGTTGACTTTTCTTTCATTTGCAATTGGTATAAATACATACAAAATAAACAAAAAATTTGGCAAAATTAGCGGCATTAGAAAAATAAAATGAACTAGAAAAATAAAAAAATAAAAAGAAACTGTATTTAAAATAAGCTACATAGATTTAAGCAAGTATAACATAATGACATATATATACTTATAAATATATGCAAATGTTATATACATTAATGGTAAATAAAATGAAGAAACAATGTAAAATTACATTTAAGTATGCATACATTTATGGGTTTTGATTTACCAACAAACACAATAGATTAAAATGAAATAATTTAACTAAAACCACAACCCACAATACACAAGAAATTTACAGAAGCTTAATAAATTTAGTTTATGAAGAATATAGTAAAAAATGCAGATTCTAATTCATAGTAGTAACTAATTATAAACACTATAACATACTTTAGTTCGAAAAGTTCTTAAATCTGAAGACAAGTTAAACAATAAAAAATATTGATTTTGTTGTCTATTTTAGAAATTAAAAAGTCTAAGAAGATTGCTTTAATTAACGTTTAAAATAATTCTTCATAAAATCACAGGTAAACTAAAAAATGTGGGTAACAAGATGAAAAACAAACACTGCTTTTTGTATTATTTAAGTTTAACTATAAAAATATAAATATTAAAAAGATATAAAAAATATAAGCTGTAATATTAAATGGAACTTACGTCAAGAAGGAAAAAGAACAACAACAAAAAGCTACATAAAAAATTGAAGAAAAACCCCAAAAATGAAGTCATGTACGAGTAACGAAAAATGAAAAATGAAATGTTTGAAAAATTTTACTGAATTCAATAAAAATATTATGTTGATATGGAATTAAGTAATTCCAAATAAACAAAAAACAAAGATTGAAAGTGTTTTATTTGTCTGTGTTTATTAAATTTATATCGTTTTTGCGTTGGCAATAAAAAGAAACTTTGCTCACCTTTAAGCCTTTGCAGCAAGATAGTTACAACTTTTCCTAAAGTCTCCTCCATTTCAAAAAGCTCGAATGTTGTTTGTAGATTATTGCCAATATTTTTCAGAGTTTTTCATGCGCAAACTATTTAAGGTGATCCCTAAAAGCATGCTAAAATGGTACCGTAACTATAACAACCGATAAAGCGGCTTTGCTCATTAGGGGCTTATCTAGCTCATAAATAAAAAGTCCCTCAAAATTAACAATATTCAGAGATTTAAAATATAAAAATATTTACGAACCCCAAAAAAAGACACAGTTTTTGATTCACTCGATATACATTAATTTATTTAGTGTTAAGATATAACCACAGTTATCGCTCAGTAATTATCATTTAAATAATGGCATTCAGAATGCTAAAATTAAACTACAAATCTTTTAAAATATACTCGAATCGCTGTTGGACCGCATGCATATAGGCAGATGCTGGGATCGACAGCGAAATTTGTGATATTTCTAGGACTTAGAGACTATGCTAACTTTATAATCCTATATAGCTGCCTTTGCTAATCATTCTCTACTCGTATTACATATTACATATTTTTGCTCTGCTTCGCGACAGACCACCCTTCTCTAACACTGGATACTTCAGACCGGCAGACTAAACTCTAAACTTAAAATACTATTTACACTTGGTGGTCTGGTCCAGCAGCTTTTTCCACAGATCGAATTGTTCGTTCGACTTGATCATGTGCACGCTGATCGCGTTACGAATGTTGCACGGGTTGAACGAGATGCGTCGGTTGACGAACTCGTTCGCCTGCACCCGCTTGATATTCAGGCTCTTGGCCACAATACCGGTGGTGAACACGTCCTCCAGCTTCAAATACACGGTCTTCAGCGACCGTACGTAAAGCTCGTGCACAATGTCTCCAGTGAGCACGTAGGCAGGTCCGGTGGTGAAGGAAGGAAACACCCCGGCCGCGAACTGATCCACAGCCACATAATACTTGGACTTCTTGTTGCGGATGGGCTTCCACTTCTTGGCCAGGCGGCCGTATATGGTTCGCTTGTCCTTATGCTTGTCGAGGAAGGTCAGCAGCTTGGGCACATTGATGAACATGTCGTCGTCCGTCTTGAGGATGTACTTGGCCTTCGGGCAGTGCAGATCCGCCCACTCCAGCGTCGAGATCGTCTTGAGGGTGAGGTTATTGTACGAGTCTATGAAATTGCCCCGTATCAGATCTCCGTAGATGAAGTTCTCCTGGGTGAGCGCCTTGTTCAGGGTTTCATTGGTCCCGCGCCCCAAGACAAAGGCCATGCCCACGTCCCTTCTGCTGCCGTAGTGCATCCACGTCTGCCGAATGGACATCCTGGCTGCATCATGAGACATTGCCGAGCTAATGAGCACAAGTAGCTTGATGAACTCTCCGTCTCTTGGACAAATGCGCTCCGCATCGACTTCCTCGTCCAAATGGCCCGGCTCATAGAGCTGCTCGGTGGCCACGCCCTTCGAGGGATCCACTGGAGCATTGGGCGGCTCCTTGGCCACGATCTTGCTCTTTGTCGTCTTTGCAACGGGCACCGGTGGTCGGGCGGACTTTGGTGATGGAACTGCAGCCTCTTTCTTCGCCTCTTTGATCTCCTGGATCACCTTGGATTCGGCCTCCTGTTTTGCGGCTTCCATTTCCGGGCCCTCCAAAGGGCCATCCACCATATTGAGTTGTGCCACATCCGGTTGATTGCCTTTATCTACAAAGCAAAAGCAAACAGTTAGTGTTTCCAATGTCGTTTGAACGTAATAGAAATACAAATAAAGAGGCAACTGAATTCTACTTGGGCCCATAAACGGCTGTTGGAAAGTAATCCAATAGCATGAAATAACGTGCGATTGTTTACAACGCTTCCATAATGAAAGACGACACTTGTCTATATTAGCGAACGTCACATATTATTCGCCATTGCCATGGAGCAGTACAAATGGGTGCGCGACTTAAGCGGGTCATGTGCAAACATGTGCAAATGTTTAACTTTTGTTGTATAAAGGTGTGTATCTTAATAAACAGATCATTAAGAACAACAATAAACAGGAATTGTGGAGTAGGCTTGTTTGGGTTACAATTAAAACAAGAAGGATATATTAGCTATAACTATATAGAGTGATAATTACCCGAGTTTGGGTCTGTTCCGGTTGCCGGGACTGCAACTCCATTGCCAGTGCTGCTATTTGAGGTGATATTCTTCAGTATCTTATCGGCATTCTCTATAAATTTCTGCAAATTGGAAGTGGGTATGAGGAGCTCCGCATCAGATAGCCCTGGCTGCACCTGCGATTGCGTTTGCTGCTGCTGTGGTGATTGGGCGGCAATCGGTTGTTTGACAACCAACGTGTCGCCAGAGCTGCTATTGTTGTTGTTCGTGCTGCTGTTGATGTTGCCTGCAGAGGACGCGAGTCATTAGCATAATTGGCACTAGAATGCCAGGACTTTCACTCACCAGTGATGCCATCAACGCTCTGACCATACTGCTGCTCCTCCAGCAGCAGCTCATCCGCCATGCCATTGGGCGTCTGCTCGGGGCCACCCACCTGGGGACTGGCGCCGGCAGAGCCACCGTCAAGCAGAGCATCCTCATCGATGGTGGGCAGCCGGTGCTGCGGATGCTTCTTGTGAATCTCGGCTGGCTGCTGCTGCTGCTGCTGCTGCTGCGACTGTCTGCTGCTCGCTACTTTGGCCGCACTTTCTACGCCAGCTGGTGAGCCATACTCCTTGTCCGTGTTGTTGACTACCAGCACCTGTTCCATTGGCAGCCGACCGGGATGACCGCCAATTAGTTGTTGCGGTGGCGATGCCGCCGAATGCAGATGACTGGCGGTTAGGGTGCCCGTTGTCGAGTACGAGGCGTAGATGAAAATGGTAAGGATCACCACGATTAGGACTAAAAGGAAGCGCAGCATGCGCGTGTTGTGTAAATTGCCCACGGCCACCATGTTGGCTGTTGGCTGTTGACTGTTGGCTGTCTTGCCAAATCTCGGAAATCTCAGTCAGTCTAAGTCTCAGTTTCAGTCTGGACTCCGCTCCACTTGTTCGTCGTTCGCTTCTTTCGATTTATTTCGTTGATGGCTGGTTCCCGCTTTCAAGCTGTGAGTATTTTGATAACGATGCCCTGGATGCTTGCAGGCTAGGCGACGATTGCGTTGCAACTGCAATGAAAACACCACGGAAATGTAAGTAAACAACTGTTTCAGCTGGTTCGTTAAGTGCTTCCATACTGGGCTTAATGGGAATAGGAAGGTATATTTCGATAAAGATTGTGCGGTGTGAGGGATTCAAGTTATTTCTGCCGAGCTATTTCCTAAATGGCCAGGGGAAATACCCTTGGCTGTTGAACAAACAATATTTTAAGTACTTAGCGAAATGGTTTTCAACTTTAAAACAACATTAATTTATAGTTACTTGATTCGTTTCTTTTCGACACAATCCCCCAATCTTTATTTAACTATTTTGTATTGCTACGTTTTGTATATTTCCAACTATTATAAAGGTACTTTGCAGTCGAGCCAACCCCTTTAAACTGTTTTGTTTTTTTCCAATGGAGAGAAAAAATGCAAACATTTGCGTAGAGAGTAAGTAAGGTGGAGTCTCCTACACAAAAAGATAACGTTTTTGTGTACTTTTCGAATTGTTTTAAAATGCAAACTTACAATGCATTTACCTTAGAACATATGGTAACGTTTTTTGTTATTTTTTTCTTGCATAATAATATTTACAGTATTTGTGATAAAACTCTAAAATATGCAGGGAAGGTTATTTGCTCCAACTTTTAAATTATGAGCTATTTTTTGGCATTCTAAAATAGGTTTTCTAATTTCCCTTGGCCTGCGAGTTATGAGTCATAAAGTTTGCAAAAGCTTTGCATTAGTTAAGAGTTTAATATTCTAAGTACTACTTGAATGAACGATTTCGCTTCGAAAAACTCGAGGCGGAACCCTAACTGATTTTTATGGTAATGGGAATGACGAACTGGCAATTACTTTGGAAGTTTCCGTGAGCTAATGAATTCCCCGAAGGCCGAGAGCACGCACAGCATCCAGAATTGTCACGACATCGCTTTGGGCTCCGTCTCCACTTTGCATGCGGCTCAAATAAGTCAACAGCAGGGCAGACTTGACCCGATTTGGAGACTGAAGAGGCAGAACAGAAACTCAAACAAGGGGTAGACTCTTGACCAGAAGCGCCAAAGCAACTTGACTTGTTGTTTCCTGACCGGCTGGACGATAAGATTGCTTATCTGTCGATCCCATCTGGGAGTTTCAGGGCTTTCTTCGAAGCCCATAAATATTTAATAAGCACCTTACTGGGCTGCCATCAAAATAAAACTACTAGGGTGTGACAGTTCGCTATGGAAATCAATAAAACTTTCGATTTGGCACCGAACTGTCTTGAAGAGTCAATGAAAACACCCAGTGCGTCATCGGTGGCAGGTTTATTGTTTTGCCGATTAGGTAGTTATTACAGATTACTAACACTAATCTTATCTTTATGAGGTCTAGCCGGGAAAGGTAAGTTATATGTCTGTTATCCTTATAATTCATAAAGCAAATCTAACAAGCGCAATAACAAATAAATCCAGATTAACCCGTTTTGCTTGCCCAAAATTAAATCAGAAGTTAGCAACGCACTAAAAAGACAGTTCTGACATTATTAAGTTTATGTATTTTTGATCACCAACAACAAGCGAAACAATATGCATAAGTATGTCCGTCATTCTGTATGTTTGTTCGTTTCTATCCAAACAAGTCTCTCAGATTTTTCATAAAATTCTGGAATATAAGTATATTTACCATAGTAGTATATCTCCCACATTCAATCTGGCAAAACTGCAACTTTATTTTTGCGCCTTAATTTAATTGTAAGTGCTTACATGGAAATAATTACGTATATTGACCAATTAAGTTTTGTTATAACTGCACTTATAGCATGAGCTACTTTTTTTGTTAAGATTAAAAATCGTTTTTGCTTGGAACAATTAACAATCATGCGTCACATATCTAATTGAAGGTGAAGAAATGTCTAAGTCGCAATTGAGTGAAAGAAAACCCAATGAAATCAAAAATTGTGTTATTTTTAAGTGTTAAGTTATTTTTAACAAAACATGATTTAAAAGATTTAATTTATCAAAAAGAACTCACACAATATTCGATTTATTTGCAACACATACCCCTACGTTAACGCTGCATTTGCTCGTAAAACTTCGAGCTGATAATACAATAACTAATTTCTGAGTATTTCCACTTATCTTTTAATTATAAACACTACAAATTTACTACCCCATAAAAGAAGGAAATTTATTATTTCTATTTTTAAGCTGATAAGACTTTATAGATTGACATAAAACAGAAATTTAATTAAAAGAATTAAGCGAAATATTTACTTAACTAATGAATGGTAATCAGCCAAATTCGATGGCAAACTATGTATAATCGCCTTTAGGGGAGAGTCATTATCAATGTGGTGGGGTTTGGCCAACATTCTAGAGGCGAACCGGAAAGAATGGAATTTTTTCGGGGGGCTAATTCCGACAATGTCATATCGTGCTGTTTCTGCGCTTATCGTACAGCTGAACGGACGCACACAATATTAAAGCTAATAAGCGAAGTTCTATTTCTATTCGAAGCCGCAGCGTGACGTGCAGCTCATTGATAAGAGGTTACCCCTTTGTTTGCTCATCAAGAGTGAAAGTGTGGCTTATCTACGCGATGAGATGACACACTGACAGTGTATTGGGCAATTGCATTCTATAATCGTTACGTTCAAGCAAATTTTTAATTGAAATTATCGCAAACTGCTTCATATCAGACTGCTACTATAAATGTATATACTTTCATATATACGTTTTCTATAGTAACAACTTTTTAAATCAGCTTTTAGCACCTCAAATAATTTTATTACCACTAAAAACATAAAAATTCCTTGACAATAAAACTGTATTTTCTTTCACTTTCAAGAGTTTGAAAGTTATCAAAAGTAAAGCTTTATTTGTAACCCATAAATGAACAGAATTATTTGATATTGCTCAGATCTCACAATCTTGACATTTCCGGTTGAAATCTCTAAAGATTTTGTGTAATTAAAGAGAATTTTCAGTCCATCCGATTTAAAATTGTACAAGAAGTGTTTCCTGTTCAATTTAAAGAACGCAGACTGTAATTGTTCTACATGTTTCAGAAGTTAACTGATTTTAGTACTTTGTAATTGTGTGCGAAATCGCCAAAGAGCCGTGAAATTTGACAAGAACGCGTAATTTGATGATGTGTAACTCGAGTTCGGAAGAAAAAGCTCATAATGGCGAGGGGCAAACAGCGAGCGGATGTGGGGTCCAAACTTCCAATCTGGCTGGCGGTCGGTGGTATTTTTTCGTGGCCCCGCTCCGAGTCTGCTAATAAGTACAATGAACCGCAGATAATCGCCGGTTAGGCGGCAAACGGGTTTTCGGGCGTCTCGAAACTATCTTCATCTCGAAATGCCCCGCTATCAATCACAGTTGCGGCCAGGAAAATTCAACTGGACACTGGAACGCGTTAATGAAAATTGAGATCAGTTTGTTTCAGTCCTCAATCCAAAACTACGTTTCCCAAAGTTTTGTGTTCATTTTTAACTTTGTCCTAACAATTATCACTTTTTTGCTATTTGAGGTTCAAGTTGAATACCCTCAAAACCTTCGGATGTGACCAAAAAAATGAAAGCAGAAAGATATTCATCTTGGAATTGCATTAACACAAATAAATATTAATAGAAGCGAAGGGGGAAGAAGTAATCACCTGACTTTATCTTCAGTCTTTTAAATCCTCTTTAGATGCGCATATTAATTTTATAATTATTAGATTTTTAACTACTCTGATGATTAATGCCTAAACTCTAAAAGCAATTAATTTTACAAGTAACTGAAGTGAAATGTTTGGACATCTACTTGATACTGTTACTTCTTGGAGATTGAGATTTTTACAGTTGCTAAGCTAAACTATAAATTCATATTTCCTTAGTTTTTTTGGATAAAACCTTTTTTGATAAATGAAATCTAAAAAAAAGCACAAAGTATTTACGGAATAGATTATTGTTGGAGCGGAAACCACTGAGCCTACCAATCTAAACGTTTTTGTTTCAAAAAGTGTTTGAAATTCGCAAAGAATTTTTGTTAAAAAGGGGCGCATTTCATAGATAAGAAGGGAGTTTATTAATAAACACAATAAAAATGTTAATGGTTGCAGCCCGCCAAGTATTTTATGGATCTGACAATGCTGGATTCCGAACAATCACGAATGAGAATGTTCTGTGTTTCATGGGGCGTTTATGACTGATAAAAAGAAATTCAAATACTAAAGGGTATTAAATTGATTTTTTATGTTCGTTTAATAATAGATTTCGAATCACAGAAGGGTTAATCATGAGTTACCATAACCAATAAATTGAGGGGATACCAGGAAGATCGATCTGGCGGTTGGCTGGTGTTAATGAAACCTCCGAAAAAGCAATGGTGCAATGTTCGGCCGTGGGATTTGGAAATGTGCGCTAATCGGTAGTGGTGGTGGTTGCCCAAGCAAACATACATACATAATTGTGTGTTAATAAAATAACAAAAAAAAACCCTAGGCAACGCATCGTCATCGTTGCGTCGACGAGGTCTACCACGACTACTACTAGTCATCTCTGAAATCTCCGAAACATCCGAAATCTCCCAATCTTCGGCGTAAACTTACCTCCTCAGCGTGGTTTTAGCTGCGTCTCTCTTCCACTTGCGATGGAATCGGAGATGGGGCTTTTGTTGTTGGACCAGGGTCAAGCATAATTACTGGCTGGCCTGCCTGCTGCTTATTTTTAGTGTTTATTTAACGTTAATAAATAATGCCTTTGTTGACAATTAACAATTGATGAATTGCCCTTGTTGCTGCTGTCGTTGTTGTTGTTGGTGTTATCCTCTTGTGGTTGTTGTTTTTGGACCCTAGGCGCCACCACAAAACTGTGCTAGTGTGCGTGCGTGTGTGTGTGCCTTGGGGATTTTTTGCGTTTCTTGTAGTTATCTGAGTATTTTTGGTTTTAATCGTTTTTAATAACGCCAACCCGTTTCATTAGTCATGCGTAGCATGTTTTATAAATAAATAAGCATTAAAACACCTTGGCAAACCAGGCAATTTGTTGTTGTTCGTGGGCAGCGCACACAGACTTTGATTTAATTTCGCGTTGCCTCTCGGATTTTAAATGTTTTTTATTATTGCAATCTGCGGTAGATGGAGCAATTTTATGACACTTTTAGGGGTTTAGTTTTGCACAATTTGCAGCGTTACAGCGGCCGCACGTATTCCAATTTTATCCCCTTTTCCATTACTCCCACTTGCAACCCGAATTTGTTCGCGATTAGCTCAACATTAATGCCAGTGTTACCAGATGGTCAAATTGCTTTTAGCCCGAAAATGCAATCAAATTCTTACTAAAAAATACTCTCTATCCCCTAAAATTCAAAAGCTCGTTTTATTTGAAAATTGTGATAATATTTTAATCTCAATAACGTTTAAGCAATGAAAAAATCAGGGAACACATTCATGTTCAACAATAACATAAAATATGTTGTAATTTTAGAGCTCCATTTTCTTGAAAAACATCGAGATCCCAATATAAGTTATCCCAGCCCAAAAATGTGAATATTTAAATAATCCTCCAGTTTCAAACTTATCATTAATTTTAAATACAGGGTATATCCCTTTTTTTAAAAGTTTATATTCCTTACTGATGATGGTCACCCGAAATTAGTTAACAGAGCTGCATAACGCTTACCACCACTGCAAACTACCAGAGGGATCAGCTGTTTGATTTGTATTGGTATAAAAAGCGGCTTCCTTGATAAGAGCAAAGTTCATTATAAATAATTATTATCTCTCTTAAGTGTATACTTTTCCTGCTTAATTTATGTAAGTAGTTAAACAATATACTCTTTGCAAAGTTATACATCAACTATTGCCGCCTTAGATTTCGTGAACGAGGAAATGGCTCTTATTCCGGCTGTTACCCGACTCACCTCCTCCGTCATCCGGATCCTGGGGTGCAATCCCAGTCCCATGACGCTCCAGGGCACCAACACCTACCTGTTGGGCAGCGGGAGGAGAAGAATCCTGATCGACACCGGCGACGAGGACGTGCCCCAGTACATTGAGCACCTGAATGACGTACTGCAGCAGGAAAAGGCCTCCATCGACACCATTTTGTTGACTCACTGGCACCACGACCACGTAGGCGGCGTCAAGAGCATTCTGGGCACCAAGTTGGCAGACAAGGATTGTAGGGTTTTCAAATTTGGGCGCACGGATGCTCAGGATGTGTGTCCCGAGATTCCGGCGCACATCAAACTCCATCCGCTGGCCCACAACCAGGAGTTCGCCACGGAGGGAGCGAATGTGCGGGTGGTGCACACGCCCGGACACACCACCGACCATGTGGTGCTGGCCATGAGCGAAGGCACACTCTTCAGCGGCGACTGCATTCTGGGCGAGGGCACCGCCGTCTTCGAGGATTTGTTCGAGTACATGAAGAGCCTGGAGAAGATATTGCACATCAAGCCGCAGCGCATCTTTCCGGGCCACGGCAATGTGATTGAGGAACCCATTGGCAAGATTGAGTACTACATAAACCATCGAAACCAGCGCGAGCAGCAAATCCTGCAGTTCTTTGTCCAGCGTCCCAATGAAAACTTACAGGCCATGGACGTAGTGCGGGTGGTCTACAAGGAGACTCCGGAAAACCTTTGGCCCGCCGCCGCCTACAACGTAAATCACCACCTTAGCAAGCTGGAGAAGGAGGGAAAGCTGCGGCTCACCAAGTCGGAGGATGAAGAGTTCTATGTCTATCAGCAATCCAGTGCGCTCTAGATCTGGTTTTTATCTATTAACGTCTTCCAGAATTTTTAATGTCCACATTACAGTTTCTGTGGGTTTAGCAATGTAAATATTTTGAGATTTTGTTAATATATGTTATTAAAAAAAATTATGTGCAAAACTATTGTAAATATTGTTCAATTTCTGTCCTAAAACTAATCAATAGATTTAAACTTTTAGGTCTTTCATTAACTACTCAGATAGATCTATCCCTTCTCATCTACTCCTTTTATAAATATAAAGATTTATTTTGATTTTCAACCTCAAAACAATGGAAGACTACCCGCTTAAATAAACAAGTTTTCTATTCACTTTTTAACACATTTGACGGTGTCGTCTAGCAACATCTTCCAGAGCTCATACTGCTCGTTAGCTCGCACCATATGGATAGAGATCCTGTCGCGAATGTGGCATGCCTCGAACTTTGTGCGGGTGTTCGCGATCTGGCGTACGTTTATCCTCCGGATGTTCAGACTTCCCGCCACGATGCCCGTGGTGAAGACGTCCTCCAGCTTGAGGAAGGCTGTGTCCAGCGATCGCATATACAGGGCATGAACGATGTCTCCGGTGAGGAGGTAAGCCGGTCCAGTGGTGAAGTAGGGAAAGCTGTCCTTCGCATACTGAGCTTTGGTTATGTGATATTTTGACCACCTATTTCGAATGGGCTTCCAGTTCTCAGCACGCCGGCCGTAGATTGATCGACTGGCTTTGAGCGTGGATATCAGAGTCATTAGCTTGGGCACATTGATGAACATGTCGTCGTCCGTTTTGAGGATGTACTTTGCCCTCGGGCAGTGAAGATCCACCCACTCCAGCAAGGAGATCGTCTTCAGAGTGAGATTGCTGTAGGAGTCTATAAAGTGGCCCCTTATTAGATCGCGATACATGAAATCCTCTCGATCGACGGCTTTGTTCAGGGTCTTGTTGGTGCCTCGTCCCAGGACGAATGCCATGCCCACATCCCTCCTGGTCCCGTAGTGCATCCACGTCTGCCGGATGGACATCCTGGCCGGCCCATGATGGAGCGCTGAGGTGATCAGAATCAATAACTTTGTAAATACTCCTCCCCGGGGACATATCCTTTCCATATCGATTTCATTCTCCTGGTGACCATGCTCGTAGATGGTTCCCACCAGAGGCATTCGGACGGGTACTTCGGTATCTATGGATAACAATTCCATTGGTTTCCTCCCTAAAATGTGTTTCGAATCTAGAAACGTTTTCGAAAATCCCTTCTGCAGCGTGTCGTTATCTGGGAAAAAAAATTCCTTTTAACTTCTACAAAACTTTTAAACAAAAATACCAATATAATTAATTTTCCTTACTCATGGACTTGTACTTCCTGGTTCCCCTGCTTATGATTGAGGAAAATAAAGCTTCTGCATGCGTGCTTCGGTCGCTAGAAATAAGTAAACCATTTTGTATATGTGTGTGACTCTTACTACTGTTTCCTGAAAGTAAAGAATTGAAATATATTTAATTTTTTTTAATAAAAAACTTACCCTTTGCGTCTTCTATACTTTCTGCGAAGGTACGTAGTGGCAGTCTCCTGCGAATCTTTCCCTGTGCACCAGGATTCTTGGACACCATATGAGTTGCAATGAAATCGGGTTCTGAGGTTTTAAAAAAGTCAAGTTTTGCCATCGTTCTTGATTTTGAAAAGTACGAGATGACAGTAAAGCTGACGAGGATTAGGATTAGGATGCAGCGCAACAGTCGACCTGCCATGGCTATAAGTTTCGTCTTTTTTTCCGGGAATTCGTCTGCGCTACGAGGTGGTTTTGACATAAGCCCCAAAAAGTCATATTTATTAAATTCGGTCAAATTTAGCAGTTAATGTAATGCACACTTGACAACTTACTTTTGAGTTCTATCATTTTTAGAGGATACTTCTCTTGGGATTTCCAAGAGTTCTTTTGGCTTTTTAGATTTTCCTGTTTTGAAGTTGAAGTGAACTAGGACCTATGACACCTTGGAGTCCTTGCCCAAATCCTGATTAGCAAACTTTCGATTTCCCATTATCCTTATTTTGTGACTTACTGCTAAAAACATATTTTTACCGTAATCGCAGTGCTTAAGCTCTGTTGGGGCCGCTGTTAATAGCAGCGCCGCCAATGTTAGTTAACATGGTCAACCCCAAACGATTACCAACACTGCACCGCGCACTGTGTACGTCAGCTGTCAAAACGAATCACAAATTTTCACGGCTTTTATTGTGCGCTTGCATTATTATTGCATTTCCCCGAGTTCCAAGTGGTTGCGCAGCATATGCGTGGATCGGTCGCGGTACTTAAATGTCGCACGCATCCGCGGCAGTGAGTGTCAAGTAACCAAATAGCCAGAACATGTCGTTTGTGGGCGTGGGTGTGGGTGGAGGCGGGTGCGGTGGCCAGGACGTGCACAAGTTCGTGGAGGCGCTGCAGGCGGACTTCAAGACCCTGTCGCTGGAGACCAAGAAGAAGTATCCTCAGATCAAGGAGGTGAGTCCTGCTGACGTGTGGTTCACGGCCCTGCGTTCTCTTTCTCTAATTGCGGCCACTTATCCACCGAGTGGTGGTGTGTCACCGTCACCCACACACTTGGGTGGAAGGTCGGTGGGCGGCAGGGGGTGGTTTGCTCTGGTTCCACCTGTGCTTGTTCTACGCAATTATGAAATTGATAGTCCAACGCAAATGAAATTGATTTTATGACACTTCCACATTCGCCCATTAATTCGCCATCGTTTTCAATTTCCAATCTCCCATTTCCCAATCAGGCATGCGAGGAGGCCATTTCCAAGCTCTGCACCGCCGGCAGCAGCCAACAAAACTCGGTTTACTACACCGTCAACCAGATACTCTATCCCCTGGTGCAGGGATGCGAGACCAAGGACCTGAAGATCATCAAGGTGAAGTAGATCATCAAGTTAAGTAGTAGTCTATAACTTATATCCTTATATCCATCTTGTCCTTAGTTCTGCCTGGGCATGATGCAGCGGCTCATCACCCAGCAGGTGGTGGACCAGAAGGGCGCCCTTTACATCACCAACGCACTGTGGACGCTCATGGAGAACAACATTGAGGAGGTGAAGGTGCTGCAAACGGTGACCCTGCTGCTGACCACCAACACGGTGGTGCATGGCGACACCTTGGCAAAGGCCCTGGTTCTGTGCTTCCGCCTGCACTACACCAAGAATCCCACGATTGTGAATACAGCCGGAGCCACCATCCGTCAGCTGGTGTCGCTGGTCTTCGAGCGTGTCTATCTGGAGAAGGACTCGGTGTCCAGTATCCAGCAACAGCAACAGCAGCAGCACCAGCAGCAACCCAGTGGTTCGCCAGCCGAGGCGGAAGGAGGCGGCGGCGGTCAGGATGTACAGACCTTTGCCTCGGATGCGTTTCTGCTATTCCAGGACCTCGTGCAGCTGGTGAATGCGGAGCAGCCCTATTGGCTGGTGGGCATGACCGAGATGACGCGTACCTTCGGCCTGGAACTGCTCGAGGCAGTGCTGACCAACTTCAGTGCTGTGTTCCACGAGGTAAACATAAATACAGACCTGTATTGATTTTCACGTTTGTTTGCCTTCGATTGATAGCTTTTTGTGCGCACTTAACGATAAAAATATAGATAGACTGCAGTCAGGAGTTAAATTCTTAAACAAATAAGCTACATGTTTAGATTTTGATTAAAGTGGTTATTGATCCATTGCTTTGTTTAAAGAAAATTTGAATTCTATTGTTTTTATGATTGGTTATTAGGTATATCTTTTGTTTATCCAATTGTCTTATGAAATTTTTAACTTTTTATCTAAAAAGGGTTAGCAACTTCAAGAAATAAAATAAAGACTTAAAATCCCCTTTTTAAAGACACTTTTTCAATTGAAATGTTCTGACTAGCGCTATAATTATAAGTTATAAATTGTAAATTACAAATTGCATAAAGTATTAACAGATAAATCCTATTTTCCAGAGTAACGACTTTCGATTGCTGCTTAAGGAGCGAGTCTGTGCCTTGGTCATAAAGCTCTTCTCGCCGAACGTCAAGCACCGCCAGCTTCCGGCTCCGAGCAATGGCAACGCTCCTGTGCCGGCCGAGAAACCATATTTCCCCATCAGCATGAGACTGCTGCGCCTGGTGGCCATACTAATACAGAAATACCACACCATACTGGTGACTGAGTGCGAGATCTTCCTGTCGCTGATCATCAAGTTCTTGGATCCGGATAAGCCGGCCTGGCAGCGAGCCCTGGCCCTGGAGGTCATCCACAAGCTGGTCACGCGCTCCTCGCTGATTGCCTTCTTCTGCAAGTCGTACGACTTGAAGAACCATGCCACAAACATTGTGCACGACATGATAGCCGCCATGGGCAGCTATGTGCGATATTCGCTGATCAATGCTTCGGCCATGCTGAATGGTCAGCAGAACGGAATGGCCAGTTCGTTGACGGCGTTGTCGGGCAACAATCAGTGTGGCTTCATGTTCCGCGGAGCCTATCTCCCTCTGGTCGCCACCTATGCGCCTGGCGTCTCCAAGGCGGTTTAGTAAGTATAAAAATTACTGGTTAAACTATTTAAACTGTAATATTTTGTCTGCCTGCAGCTTGGAAATGCTGGACAAGCTGGATGCTCCGAATATACCCGACAGCTATGGCATCTCGGTGGGTCATGCCATTCTCCTGGACATAACACGTTCGATTGGAGGCGTCATACAGCGCACCCCAGAGCTTCATCCCAGCCACAATACGGCCGTAATAACGGAGGAGGAGCACAAGCCGCTGTGCCTGCAGTTGGTGAACTCCAGCTGGTCTGGCCTTCTCAGCGCTTTCATTCCATTGGTGGAGACGTCCATTGACGAGGCCACCACGGATAACATCCTCAAGGCCATGCAAAACTATGCTGCTCTATGCGGCATGCTGGAGCAGCTGCAGCCGCGAGACGCCTTCATTTTGGCCATGTGTCGTGCCTCCTTTCCGCCCCACTACGCCATGTCCATATTTGCCAACACCACGCAGCCGGATGGTGAACTACGATGTGAGTATTTTAATTTTGTTAAGGCATATTTATGATAACTAACTTTACGGGTGTTTTTTGTGGCAGGCCACAACCGCAGTGGCAGTCAGGATCTGAGCAGCCAGTTCATCAACAACTGCAGCGGCGATGCGGGGGACTTCCGACCCCAGATAGTGGCCGTGGGCACGCCCCTGCCCTCCGCCTCGTTGCCACACAGTGTGATGCAGGCACCGGTGATGCTGACCAACAAGAATCTGCAGTGCATGCGGGCGATCCTCTTCCTGGCGCACAACAACGGCGGCATACTGGGCACCTCGTGGCACATGGTGCTGCAAACACTGCAGCATCTGGTGTGGATCCTGGGCTTGAAACCCTCCACCGGAGGCAGTCTTCAGGCCATGCCCAAGCCGGCGGTGGAGACCAATGTGGGCATTCAGACGGCCGTGATGGCTGATCTGCCGGTTCTGTCACAAATGCTTAGCCAACTCTTCGAGTCCAGCCAGTATCTGGACGATGTGGCTCTCCATCATTTGATTGATGCGCTGTGCAAGCTGTCCCACGAGGCCATGGAGCTGGCCTACGCCAATCGGGAGCCATCACTCTTTGCGGTCGCCAAACTGCTGGAGACTGGCCTAGTGAACATGCCCCGGATCAAGGTGCTGTGGCGACCGCTCACCAATCACCTGCTGGAGGTGTGCCAGCATCGGCACATCCGCATGCGAGAGTGGGGCGTGGAGGCCATTACCTACCTCGTTAAGTCCGCACTTCAGTTCAAGCACAAAACACCACTCAAGGAGAATATGGTGAGTGTGGTTGGCTGTCTCTTAAGATATGCTGTTTTAATTTACTTTATTTTTTCCTTAAAGGAACTACAAACCATGCTGCTGAGTCCGCTCTCCGAGCTGTCCACTGTCCTGCACGCAGATGTACGGCAACGGCAGCTGGACTGTGTCCTTCAGATCCTCAACACGGCCGGGGAGATTCTCTCCTTTGGTTGGCCGGCCATCATCGAGATCATCGGTGCGGTGAACGAGCATCATGGCGAGCCGTTGATTCGCACAGCATTCCAATGCCTGCAGTTGGTCATCACCGATTTCCTCACAGTGATGCCCTGGCGATGCCTGCCCCTGTGCATCAGCACGGCGGCCAAATTTGGTTCCCAGACGCAGGAACTGAACATCTCCCTAACGGCCATTGGTCTTATGGTAAGTGGATGGTATGGAAGTAAAGCAATGTTTGTGATTAAATGAGGTTTCCGGTTTGCAGTGGAATATTTCAGATTTCTTTAACCAGAACCAGGATAAGCTTATGTCCACTCAGCTGCAGGATGTGTCCATTCTGCCCGACTTTCCGGGCACCGTGAAGATGCCGCAGTTCGACAAGTTGTGGATGTGCTTGTACGCCAAGCTGGGCGAGCTGTGTGTGGATCTGCGTCCGGCGGTGCGTAAATCGGCCGGCCAGACGCTCTTCTCCACCATCTCCGCCCACGGTAGCCTACTAAATCCGCCCACGTGGCAGGCACTGGTCTGGCAGGTTCTCTTCCCGCTGCTGGACAACGTGCGCGCCCTGAGCAGCTCGGCCAGCAACGAGAAGGTGGACGCCAGTGGCAACATTCTCATCCATCACTCGCGCAACACCGCCCAAAAGCAGTGGGCAGAGACGCAGGTGCTCACCCTGTCCGGCGTCTGCAGGGTGTTCAACACCAAGCGGGAGCTCCTCCAAATGCTGGGTGACTTTGAGCGGGCCTGGTCTCTCATCTTGGAGTTTATCCAGAATGCGGCCTTGAGCAAGAATGGTGAGGTCTCGCTGGCCGCCCTCAAGTCGCTGCAGGAGATCATGTACCACAATACCACGGAGCGAGCGGAGAGGGCTTTGAAGGATCCCCAGACGGCCCAGGAGCAGGACGAGGAAATCTGGACCGTGAGTAGTGCGGGCACTGAGCAGCGATCTCCGCCAACCTGGCTTTACTACAATTCGTTTATTGGATATATTTTCTATTTCTATGCTAACAACTCACATTTGCTTGTTCGTATTCAGATTGCCTGGAATATTTGGCTGAGCATTGGCA